GCACTTTAAATGCACTTGAAAGTGTTTGCTTATGGCACTCCAAACTCTCACACACATACAACCAACACTCTCTCCCACACTTGTGAGGATAATATATATATATATATCACTTGAGTTTAGTTTGCCTTCAGGTTGAAGTTTTTAAAGTAATTTATTTTTTCCTTAATATATTTTGCTTTATTTTGGTCGCTTCCACAGCTCAGATGGCTCAGTCTTCTTCTTGGCAACTCATTCTTTCATTTTCTGGAATGCGTTTTTGATTTTTTTTATAAATTCCCATGGCCTTGTAGCTGTTTTTTTAGCTGTCACTGTGCTGCTGCTTAAAGGGAACTTGCAGCCATGTTGCAGATGTGTTGATTCTGCTCCTTTTGGCTGCCTTTTTTCACCTACTGCCTTTCCTTTACTCCCATGTTGCTTTAATTTTTGTTGTTTTTCCTGTTGATGCTGTTTGCTTGGCTGTTGTTTTTGTTGTTTCTGTTGTTTCAGTTGATGTCGCTCTTGGATTCTTTCTGCTTTTCTTCCTCGCATTTTAAGTGCATTTCGGCCATGTCCGCAGCTGTGTGTGTTTCACCTTTTGCTGAGCCATTTTTAAGTGACTTGCTGTCGACATTCCGCAAACTGATACACATAAAACAAAACTCAGATTTTTTTAAATTTCAGAGAAGATAAATGAATGATATGAAAGAGAAAATTAAATATTTTAATGTGTTTTTTTTACAAAATGTTTAGTTCTAAGATAAAAATTGTGTTATATTGACAAACACGAGTTAAATTTCTCTCTGTGTACACACCTTCTCACTATACTTTCACCCACTTATAACCTATTTTTTGTATGTTGCATACTTTTGCGAGCTGCCGTTCATTTTCCCGTTTCTTGTTCTCTCGTTTGCCAGCCATAAATCATCTTGTTGAGTGCCACACTGTGGCAAAGGCTTAAAGTGTTAAATCAGCACAAAATGCCACTGAAAGGGGTTAAAGGGGGTGGGTGGGTTAAACAAAATATGCCAAGCACACGGCGGCAAATTCAAATCACATTATTATATATTTCATGCTTGCATGTGGGAGGAATGCAAAAATATGAAAACGGGGAAAAGCAAAACCTTTAAGAATTTGCCAGCGAAATTTGAGAATGTAAAAACACAAAACTAAACTCATTTTATGAACTGTCAATCATAGGAAAAACACATTAAATCTTCCCATAGTAACCCAGTTCCGAAATTATCCTTGATGCAAATTTTCAAAGAATATGAAAACAGTTTGTAAATACTGTAGTTAAACTGATACCTGTTTCTCGAATTGGCGTAGAACAATAAGCAATAGGCCTGGCCCCAGGCTTCCGTTTCAATCTCAATCCCTTTAGCTGTAATGAGTTCAATTCTCAGTACATGAGGTTAGGAGGTCCCACCCCTTTGATACCAGCTTTTAACCCAGCACCGGGCCGCAGAGTCAGGCCTCAGTAAACTTTTGAGACCGCAGTAACCAAATGGCCAAAGCCAACCAGAGCTATCTAAGCCAATACACACTCAGGCACAGGCAGAAGTCCTGGACCTTAGTCCTAGTTGCGAATCCATTTCCTGGGTCCCAGTTCCCGGCCATAACCCTGATCCTTCACCCTGCTCGTTGAGTTGCAAATTTTAATCCCAGAGTGAAGCTTAAACAAATTTTGTGCCTCGACCGACATATGTGGGCATAATTGAAGTCGAAATGGGATGCAGAGCAGACGCTCTCTGCCTCTACACTGTGGCAAAATGTTAAGAGTTGGTAAGACTACTTTTCAGTTTTATCAGTTTATACAAATATTTTATATTTAGCTCTTGAAAATAATTAACATTTTCTTTCCTTATAACAACTTTCAAATGGATTTCCATTCTAACTGTATTTCTTCAAGTGAAAATCCCCTCCTCCTACAGACATTGCTCACATCGTTCTATTGTATTTGCATTAGTGTAGTAAATGCAAAGTGTTATAAGCTTTATTATGGTTGCCATAGCAGCCGCCTCCGTATCTTTTTCGTCCTCCGCTCCTCTGGTTTTGTTCCTTCCCATATAATGTAAACCACAAATAGAAGGAAAGGTCGGTCCCAAGCCCCAGCTTACATCTGGGAGTTTTCTGTAATGATGTGCTCAAATCCCGCACACGCAGAGGCAAACTATAATCCAAATTCCATCTGCCGAGATGAGAATGGATCGGAGAGGGGTTCGGGTAAAACAAAGAAATTGTTTAACATTTCCAGCATATCAAAGTACAGATACTCTAACTTGTTTTAATGAAAGAAAGTATAAATGTATTAATAGTTATAATATTAATAAATATAAATCTTTATTATTATTTTAGTTTATATAATATGAAAGAACTTTTAAAACTTACTAATATTAATTTGTGGTTACAAATACTTAAAGGTAATTGGTATATGTTCATATGTTATACTTCTTTCTCCAAAATGCCAAACAAATTGAATAAGCATTTCGTTTTCCCTTCATTGTTGTCTAAGGGTAGTGAAAAACGTTTTGGTAAAACCCAAAAATGGATTGATAATATCCCGCAAATGATTAACTTGTCTGAAAGTTTTTTGTCAGCGCCTTGGGGGGCTTTTAGATGGATAGAGCAGGGGATGGGTTCTTATCGAGGGACGACCGCTCACACATGTAAGCCCTCGTATGCTAATAGTTTTTCGAGCTTCTAACAGATTTGTCAAGCTGTCTTATGCCTGAATCAGTCTTTTCCCTCCCCCATATTTAAATCAATATGGGAAGAAAGGGGGGTTCGGGATAACTGATTGTGGGTTTCTCATCAAATTAGATACGAATGGCATCGTTGATTGGCCTGCGTAACTGACAGCTCATAATGAGATTGAATTTTTCTCTTCGGTAATTGATAAAGGGTTGGGATATCCCAGAGACCCCCTGATTTATGCAACTATGTCAATGTCAAATGCCGGCCATAACTCTTTGGCCAGCCCTCGTAGCACATAAATATTGTATCACATGGCGTCATAAAAGAAATAATGATAAATAACCAAATCAGCAGAGGCGGTAGCAGCCGAAACAGAAGTGCCCCAGAATGACTTCATTGCAGTGGATGCGGCACCAGAAATTCATAAACAAGAAGACAAGTCCCCAAGTCATATATATATCTTATACAGTCCCCCGATCTCAGTCCGTCTATCTTTGCACTTCTCTTATCCGCAACGAGGCGGTAATAAATCTCTTGGCAAAAGGCGAAAAGGCAAATCGTACAGATTATTAGGCCTCTCACTCCCCATTTCCCTCTTTGCCATGATTTTCCATTGCGTCAGGAAAACATCTGGCAGCTTTTGGAGGATTTTATGGATTTGCCAGGGGAGAGGGCGTGTCCCAATAGAAATACTTATGTTTATGCGATGAGCTCAAGTTCTGACAGTGGATTAGGCATTTGCATAAATATTGAAAACAGTTTGAATATCTAAATCATCAACTGGAAATCAAAAATATAGACAGGAGAACTCGTAAAAACGATGTAGAACAATTTCCATAAATTTGTTTCTTTTGAAAATAAATAAAGGGTAGTTAGGAGATTCCCAAAAACATATTATTTTCAAGGTCAATAATGTAATTTTGGCATCTATGATTTTTAAGTTCAACCATTAATATCAAGCTAGTAATACTCTATTAATACACTTTTGTAGTTTTTCCACTTAAAGATCGCACTGCACAATGGAACCAACTTTGGTTTCCCGAAAACAGCTAATTGCTGGCCATCTGTCAGCTAACCGCCAACGGCAATCAAAAAGTTAAGAGCCAGAAGAGCGACAATTCGACCGCAAACTAATTTATTAATCCCCTTCCACTTCACCTCACAGCGAAAAACTAAAAGTTTTAAAGCTTCTGGCTTCGTCCTTTTGCTGGCCATGCTAACCGCTCTCGGACATGGCTAAAATATGCAAAACTAACATAAATCTCAATTTGGAGATTTATGAAAAAACACACAAGCTCTCTCACACACGTACAAACCAAAGACCGGCAACTAAAAAACCGAGAAAAAGAGTCGTCGCCCGCAAAGTAATAAAAAATTATTATTATAAAAAATAAAGGGAAAGATAGAGCGCGGAAAAATAGTTGCACCACAGCAAATATCACTAAAAAATACCACAAACAACCTAGCACTATAGCAAAAAACCTTTAAAATAAATAAACCAAAAAAAATAAATCGGAAAGCGAGTGAAAAACTACGTTTCGAGGGAAAATAGTGCAACGCTGAAATGTCGAAAAGCAAAAACAAATAAATAAATTGCAGATAAAGGTCTCAACTTAAAAATATCCTGTATATTGGAAAGAAACATCAATTATCCAAATATGAATCGAAAGTATTAATGACTAATTTTTTAATGTGCTAAATTCCATTTGGGAAATATTTATTTTTCGGGCTATAATTCTAGCTAGTAAAATATTTCTCTAATCAGTCTTACTAAGCTAATCTTCCCAAGCGGATCATATATTTTAATTGGTTAGAAAAATGCTTAAACTCAAAAAATAAATTATATAACTTATATAATAATTTATTTTCTGGACAAAGCGTACACTCTAGCGCACACGATTCTAAGCCGGCACCGTCAAGATAAATTACTTACCGTAAGTTCTCCCACAAAACTTGGCGCTGAACAAATTGAAAAATAAAAAATTCAGCATTCCGCGAACAAAAAAACCCACCAGAGACGAAAATACTAGAATGAGTGGGAGCCAGGGATGGCGGACATGACAAAAAAGGGTTTTGCCTTTGCCCTAATATTTTATTTGGCACCCGGCCCCTATCCGCCTCCCAGATTTTTCCCAACAGTCGTGCGTGTGTAAAATCTGTCGCAGATTCGACTTCAATTATTTTTTACACAATTTTCTTGTCTCTTTTGGCGTTGAGCTAACATTTTTACTAGTGTGGATGCACTGAGAGAAATTTGGTACACCTGAGAAAAACCAGTCTAAAATCGCAACAGTTTTCCCAACAAGGACAAAAGCCAATATTTTTGATTTGGCCAAAGATGCACTTTATTAATTTTAATTTTCAAACTCCAAATAAGACGGAAGATTTTTTTCAGAACACCAAAATCGGTCTGTGGGCGAAAATAAATTAATTTTTAATTAAATTAATTTAATATGAACTCACTTCCATACATCCTATGATATTTTATAACTGTTCCGGCTTTTATAGTAAGTAAGTAAGTTTTAGAGTACTGGGAAAGTTTTTGTCTCTAATCGGAAAGTTGTATGCCAGAAATTTTGTACACACAATTTTGAAGTAGTAGAAAGCCAAAATTAATTCGCTAAATGGGGGAAGTGAGAATGCGAATGTAAACGAGAAGATCTTCCTTAATCTCTGCAAAAAAATCAGTTGGTTGTGCAAATTGATTAAATTAAATGGTTAAATGTGGTTACCAACATACCCCTAAACATCTGCATTAGTGGAAGAGCCCAACTCCAATAGACCCAGAGTTGATCGGTGAAAATAAATTCCGAAGATATCCCGGCGACGAGTGATGATTCCTTGGGGAAGTGACAGCTACCTTAAGATACCAGAGAATGCAGTTGCAAGGTCACTGGTTTTCGGTACCTTATCCATACATCCTTAATTTTGATTTTCGAATTCCAAATAATAAAGATTCTATCCTTATACAAGCCAGAAAATGGTAATAATAAACTAATGTTGATTCAACTGTAGCAGAAGCACTAAAACTCTTTCTGTGAGCTAAAATGATAATTATTATTTAACCAGATTTGTAGATTTTTAAAGTAGCTACAATAAATTTTCATTTAAAATTTTCAAATGAGTGAAGATTTTTTCTAATTTGATATGAACTTACATTTCCGAACGAGACCGCAGATTTTTAATGGAAAACGGACGAAAACAGTGATTTACGAAATTTATGACTTAGTAGTTGTCTAGACATTTTTATATATTTTTTATGTGGTCAATCGATTATTTTCTTTAACACAAAACACTTAACAATTAATGATCACTTTAAACTTAAAACTAAAAAATTTTAAAAATTTTCCAAATATTTTTTTGTAGATGAATATAAAATATATTAGGTGTGTCCTTTGCACAGTTCAACTTTGTACTGAGTTTTACGAAAGCAAATGACTGTTAGGTACTGTTTTGAATTTACCACAGCCCTCTAGATGAGATATTTTTACTTCATAATATTTGTAGATGAAAACTGAGTGTTTTAGAAATATTTACCTTTGAATATATATTTTTATATACTTATTTTTATACCTCCCTAACCATTTTTACAGTGTTCCTTTCTAGGCTTTGCACATTTTTTTTGAGTCTCGTTGTCGTCGTTGTTGTTTTTGCTCCTTGCATATTTTCTTTTTCGGCGCTGCTCATAAATTTTGGGACTGTCCGTCGGCGGTAAAGAATCACTGCCGCTGCCTCTGTCGACTTCGCAGCTCCGGCTGCTGTTATTCTAATTTTATGGAAATTCCTACACTTTTTCTTGCCTTCGCCAGCGCCTTTTCTTTTCTTTTCAGCGCACAGATTTGTGTTTGAGAAAAATCTGTTTGTCATACGCTTCGTTGCGCCTCATTTTGCCATGGAGAAGAAGAAAAGGCGGGAATAAAAGGCAGATGTGGGGCCGAGAAAAAAAAATTTATTTGCCGGGCCTCCAAAAAAAAAAAAACGATGGAGAAAAAACCAAAAAACTCCATTCAAAGGCTGGACAGTGGGTGCCATAAGTATGCTGTGTCTTCTGGCAGCAAACTGCAAGGGAAAAAACTTTTCACAACGCATAAATTTGCCTGCGTTAGTTTGTTCTCTTATTATTTTGCGCCACATAATTTTACACAAGCAGCCAGCATATGCTGAACAACTATGGCACCACCCCTTCAGATCCCCAACTTCCACTTCTCGTTACGCTTCCGAAAATTTGATTTTAAAGCAGGCGCAAAGTGAATTTTAATGATAAAGTCCACATAAAAATAAAACTAACAAAGTTGTTTCGTTCTTTTTTCGATTTTATGCCCAATTTAATCGAAAACAAATAAGTGGAAACTTAAGTCCTCTAAAGTAAAGCAAAAACTAAAAATAAAAATCTTGTTAAACATAATTAAATAAAAATGAAAACCACCAATAAATTCCCCCTTAACTAAAGCATGTAAAAGCCACAAAAAGAACTATTTATTTTTGTTTCACAAAGCAAAACCATAAGAACAACAATCAGCCTTATTTGATTTCCCATTATTAATTAATTCATGAAAACGACAACAAATTAATTAAGACTCCGGCAAGCGGAAAATCGGAAGGTGGCTAACTGGGGACAAAAAGCGAGAGGCGTTGTAATTTCATAAATTTGATTGTCACGCCAGCGAATTAGTGTCAAGCCAATTCCAACTAATGAGCAGCCATAAAAAGATATATGGAAAATACATATATATAATTAGGCTTGTAACTAAGAGGAGGAATCTTCATTTTCGCATTTTCAAAAATGAAACAACAAATGGCTCACCTAATACTTGTTGTCATTCGCCTATTTATGATAATTAAGGTTTGACATTTTTATGTTATTAATTCGATTTGACATAAAGTCAAGCCCCCTCCAACGCCTTTCTAATTTTGTCAACGTTCAACGGATGCCGTCGACCACAAAAAGTTAATAGGCAATGGGCCACCAGTGACCCAAAAAAAAATATTAGAAAAGAAAAGCAAAAGAAAAACGGAGCGGGAGAAGACACAAATGAAACGGGAAGGTGAGAAAAGAGCTGGTGCCCCTCTCGAAAGTTTTCCCCAAATTTTCCCGGCGGCATTAACCGTTGATCGGCGAAAGCATTTAAAAACTACAGCAGCCTTCCAGAGGCGTCCAACTTGGCTCATAAAACTGACAATAAAAACATGGGGGACTGTCAGAGTGGCTAAGTGGCGGGGAGGAGTCTCTAGCATTGAGTGTAGATCTCCTCTGATTCATGCACTTACTCCCTCTTTCCTTTTTTATAAATGAAAATCCCTCAATGGCAGCGTTGACTTTAATTAAGAGCAAAATTAATTTGTATGAAAGGCGGAAAATAAATGAAAAAAGGAAGGGACAAATATAAATGTCAGCAAGTTCTTCTATAGTTTTCAGATTTTTATATTGAAAAAATAATTTAATTTTTTATTAAATCCTAAAAATTACTAATTGATATTAAGTTATAGCTGTTTTATAAGTATCCATATGGCCAAATATGCTCTTTAGCACCCCTTATATAAAAACAAAATTAATTTATCTTCTATACCTTCCTTACCTTTACTTTCCCGAAAACTACTGCTAAAATATTGACCGCCCCAGCAAAAACCGGACCGAAACCACTTCAACTCAATTTTCAACACTTTTCCCTCTTTTCACCGAGCAACCACCGTGCTCTTTGCCCGCCATGCATTTTCCCCCTTTCCCAGGAAGTGAAATCGGAGTTTATTTTTATAGATTTAAGGGCAGACAACAAAAAATCAATTGTCTTACACACTTGTGCATCTGAAACATCCCTGGCCTCTCCCTTTTTTCAGCCCGAGGGCGTAGCAAACACATGACATGTGTCAAAAGCAGAAAGGGGAACGGGGAAAATGTAAAATAAAATATATATATGCACTGGAAAAAGTGTCATAAGGATGGTAAGAGCATCCCAACTCATCGGAAACGAGACGGGCATGCTGCTGACAAATAAAACTGTCGGTTTTAATAATAAAACAAGAAGAGCAACTGGGAAAGCCCCAAGATAGAGAAGTGCACTTCTTATGGCAACTAAACCATCTTGGGGCGACCCCAACTGACTTTTCCGGCTGACAGATTACAGCTGCGATAAACTAGAGTTTCCATACCTATTTCTGTTTCATTTCCAATTAGAAATCAGCCAAAGCTGATAAGTCTTTTCATTTTAAATATGACTTTTTCCATTTCAACTAGCCCATAAATATATCAAAGTCCTATATGCATTTTAATGTGTCATTGGCAGACACAAATAGAAAATGGGTCTAAAAAAGAGTTTAAGAACTTGCTCTACTGATAATCCATTTGTCTTCAAAGAATATTTAAGTATAAGTTCTGACTGTCAGTGATAAAGAAAATCATACAAAACAAATAACATCTATAGAAAATGTATTTTTTTTCTCTTACGATAATAGAAAAAGTGTTATTAATTTTATTTCAGAACTAGTATGAATTATTAAATTTCATATTGGATTTCCTTCAAAAGTACTCTACAAAATATAATGAAAAGAATTCCAACTTAATGTCAAACTTTAAATGTAATTTCTAACTTTGAGTTTAGCTGCAACTTTAATCAACATTTCTCTTATTCTTTCCCTTTTCTTTGTCTTTCAGGTAAGTCGCTGAGAACTTTTCCGACCGCTACCCCATCGACTTCTACCATCTTCCGAAATAAGGTAAACAAGGAAAACACTCAACTTCTTTGTGCCCTCTGAACAACTGTGTCGTTGTCGTTGGCGTGAAAAAATCCATTAGAAGTGGAACTATGTCAATCGATGGCAGAATGAAAGAACATTGAGTGGCGCAGGGGAAGAAAGCTCCGGGGCGAAATATAGACTGTTAAAGTGCAGACTGAAAACAGGGAAAATTAAAAAAAAAAGAAAAAAACGTTAAGAAACATTATTAACATTATTAATTTGTAGTATTGTAATTTAAGAAGAAATCAGATCTGAAAAATTTATTTATATTTATGTCGACTTTAAGTCGAAACGAATTGATTGATCCGGTCACCTAAAGTGTCCATCTGGGGGAGACTTCACTGTCCCCCCAGACACATATGCTAAGCTGACAGCACATATGTATGTTGGCTTGTGGTAGCCATGAATTATTTACATACCAAGCCACCCAAATGCATTTCTAATGTTGCGACAGTAGGAAAACAGAAAGTGCAAATGAGATTTGGCTTTCACTGCGAAGCAGAACGAATTTGTTACCGGTCATCGGACTTCAATGGATACATCTTCTGGTGGCTAAGACAAGTCAAGCTTTTGCTGAGTCCTATTGATTTTGGCCAGAATATTGCCATTGCCCTGGTTTCTATATTTGGTCTAAGTTGTGACTTTAGTCTCTCTCTCCATCTCTATCAGAGTAGCTTTGAGTTTTGATGAAAATGGGGAAATTGGGAAATTCAAAATTAAATTAATTTCAATTGAACCTAATTGACAGACAACCTAAGGTTCGACTTTGAGTGTGATCCATTACAAATTTAAGATGGTTTCAAAACTGATCTAAGATTAGTTTAAAATTAAGCATTAACTGAATGACAATCCGTTTCGGATTCTCGGCGTAGTAGCTTCTTTCACTGGAACGAAATTGGTTAAACATTTTTACAAGAAGAGTAATAAAATGGCTTTCAGATTTCCTTTTGGGACAGAAAAATCTCTGAAATACCTTTCCCTTTTGCAAGCAAAGACAAAAGTGAATTACATTTTCCCGCTTTTTCATCCACATACAACTTTCCCCATTCATTCCAACCATTCCATTTCCATTTTCGCGCGGAATTTCCGCACTCAAAGTCAGTCGCACAATCAGTTGGCAAACAATTGAATGCCTCATCAGCAGGCGAAGGACTTCGATTGATATTATGGGACAGCTATTCAGGAGGATCCTTACACCGATTGCCCCGCCCTTTCTCGCCGCCTCCGCAGACAGCTGTTATTATCAAATAACCGCGCAGCATATCAAATAACAAGAAACAAACTTTGTCAACACGAGCGAAGCAAAAATGCTGAGCCAGAAGGGGATTGGAATGTATATATATATATATCTAGTGATATAGAGGTGGAGGGGGCTTAACCCGACTGCAAAAAGTCTTGGATAATATTTGCCAGGGAAGGGAGGAAGGCTGTCATGTTTGCACATTTGTTGGCATTTGCAGGATATTTGTGTATCCCCTGGATACACTTTCATCGGGGAAGACAAGTCTAGTGCAATTTGATATTATTGCCAACTGGCAAATACACTCGAACCATTTCATTGTATCCGTGTATCATTGCATCTGTATTCAAGTATCTTGCATTCCTGCATCCCTGCATCCGTG